TGTAAAATTGGAGTAATTTCGTAGTGTAGATGTACCCAGAGACTAACAAATTTATTTGAGCATAAGCTTTCGTGGGCTACAGTCCACCTCATCGGATGCATAGAATGGAACACACAGAAAGAAGATATTTATACATACAGAGACCATGAAAAGGTGGAATTAGCCATACCAACTGTAAGAGGCCAATCAATTGAGATGAGCTATCATCAGCAAGAGAAAAAAAAACAACTCTGAAGTGATAATCGAGATGACCCATAGAAGGTGTGAGGATACTTAACATGGGGAAATAGATTCAATTAGTGTAATGATCCAACCATTCCCAGTCTCTGTTCAAACCTAATTGTATCTAATTTGCATATTAATTCAAGTTCAGCAGTCTCTCTTTGGAGTCTGTTTTTGAAGTTTTTTTGTTGCAAAATTGCCACCTTCAACTCTGTCACTGAGTGGTTAGAGAGGTTGAAGTGTTCTCCCACTGGTTTTTGAATGTTATGATTCCTGATGTCAGATTTGTGTCCATTTATTCTTTTGCGTAGAGACTGTCCGGTTTGGCCAATGTATATGGCAGAGGGGCATTGCCGGCACATGATGGCATATATCCCGTTGGTAGATGTGCAGGTGAACGAGCCCCTGATGGCTTGGCTGATGTGATTAGGTCCTATGATGGTGTCACTTGAATAGATATGTGGACAGAGTTGACATCGGGCTTTGTTGCAAGGATAGGTTCCTGGGTTAGTGTTTATGTTTTATGGTGTGCGGTTGCTGGTGAGTATTTGCTTCAGGTTGGGGGGCTGTCTGTAAGCGAGGACAGATCTGTCTCCCAAGATCTGTGAGAGTGAGGGATCATCTTTCAGGATAGGTTGTAGATCTTTGATGATGCGCTGGAGAGGTTTTAGTTGGGGGCTGAAGGTGATGGCTAGTGACGTTCTGTTATTTTCTTTGTTGGGCCTGTCCTGTAGTAGGTGACTTCTGGGTACTCTTCTGGCTCTGTCAATCTGTTTTTCCACTTCAGCAGGTGGGTATTGTAGTTTTAAGAATGCTTAATAGAGATCTTGTAGGTTTGTCTCTGTCTGAGGGATTGGAGCAAATGCGGTTGTATCTTAGAGCTCGGCTGTAGACAATGGATCGTGTGGTGTGTCCTGGATGGAAGCTGGAGGCATGTAGGTAAGTATAGCCGTCAGTAGGTTTCCGGTATAGGGTGGTAAGCTCTCAAAACTGGATACTCTCATGAAAAACCACCCGGCCTCCATACAGTTTCGGAACCCCAATGTGGCCCTCAGGCCAAAAAGTTTGCTCACCCCTGCCCTAGGTTCTAGCAGCTGCTGCTGGTGGCCTCTAACCTGATTTGAAGATTTGCACGGGAAGGGATGAAAAGCAAAGCCTGCCGCTGACGTGTTAACAGCACAGCACAAGGTCTCTTCCATACAGAAAAGCAAAATCCTGCATATGTACAACTTTCCACAGCTTCTCCAGCCAGCTGTACATTCACCAGGTACCCACATGTGTCCTTGCTGGCTGTTGGACTGCACCATGCCATGGGCTGTGCGTTGTCCCAGAGGTACACAGTAAAGGGGTTACTGTGACACAGCAAAGACAACAGACTATTCTGTACTGAGTGCACGGCTCCCGGGGGAACTGCTTCATTTACACTCATCCTACAGGTTTTCCCAATGAAGTAAGGTATACATTGAAACCTGCCCCATGTGATTGATTGACTCACTCACTCTAATTAAGGATTCCACTAACCCAATCATTATAAGCCCTGCCAAGGAATTAAGAGGCAGTTTATGCAAAAACTACTGGATGCAGGGCTAGGTGTCTCCACGGTCTAAGGTGCACCCAATTGAAGTTAAATGGTATTTCACGCTACCACCTAGTGTTTCCACATAGAATAGCAGGCAACATTCAATACCAGGATTTTTATTTTTTAAACCCACAATACCCCACTCAAACCAGGTTTAATTCATCGCTGGTGCTCAACGTCAAATGAAAAACACTGGCAGAAAACGTTAAGGCGCAGTGGGAGGCAGTGGAGAGGCTGGCTCTGGGTCCTGGAGTCAGTGTGTACAAATATCTCATATTTAAGTTGTAACCAAAAATAGAGAGACTTTGATGGCCTCATCCATTAACGAATTTGGAAGTCTCCAAGGCAAAATGGTATTTTAGGGCCAGAATCTGTCCCTCTCACTCTGTGAAATCAATATGGCTGCTTGCAGAGTAAGATACTGTGCAACATGAATGAGGAGGACAGACTCTGGTCCTTACTGAGAGCTCAGTGTAACAAACCTGACAGTGATGGCTCTTTTTACAGCAGACGTATAACATGTCTATTTTATAGCCATCATACATTGATATTTCTTGCAAGCCCATTTAACTGTACAATAAACTTATTGGCTAGCTGTTAAAACTCTGTGTCCGGCTTTTACTCAGCACATCCAGCTTTCTTTCATACCTGACTAAAATGAAAGCTATTTAACTCGGATCAATATTGTTAATACAGGAGCAGCAGATCCTGATTCCTTTACTCACACTGAGTATCCCCTCACTCTGTGAGCAGTCCCATAGGAATCAATGGGATGATACCATTGCCATTTCGCATTCTTTTAAATCAGGCTCCCTTAAGGTGTTTTAAGTCGAGAATGCCGAAAAGAGTGAGACATCCAAAAATCCCAAGTCCCTTTTGAAAATCTTGGCTTATGATCTTGGCCCCCTGCCTCCTACACGGCAGAGCAACGAGGAGGCTTGTGAGGGGTGCTGATGAGTAGTTGGGGAAGTAGGGGCACATGACAAAATCCATATAATGTAACAAGCCAAACTGGACATAGATAATCAAAGAAATGAAAATAACAAGGCAGACTTCCTTAAAAGAGACACTAGCACAAGATAAGAGCAACTATAACATAGCCATTTGCAGAAAAACTTTCCCATTTATAAGCAAGATATTTACATCTGGTGTCAACATAGCAACATAATACTAGTAGGTCTCCACAGAAGAGAATTTCTCTTGCATCTTAGCTGGCTAGGCTAGAAGCAGACTGTGTCTTACAAACAGTCATGTTAATCTGTCCGCACGTGATCTCAAATAATTAACCAGGAGAATGGCCACCAATGTCACCAATACAAGATCTCTGCTCCCACTTTTTAAAATTTACATATTTGGAAGCTGTATTTTCAGCTGTTGAGCAAACGATTTGCTGCCAATCTGACTCAGAGATGCTCCCACACAGTGTGTGGGGTATGTTATTCCATACCAAAAATCAGCCATACATTTTCAGGCTTGTTTTAAATTAAAGGAGACGAGCAAAACAAGAAGGAACAAAAGTAAACTCTCCAAGAGGGAGTACAGTGTGTGTCTCCTCTGCCACAGGTTGCATCTGAACTCAACACAACATGGCAGTTACTCCAGCCTGCTCCTAGGTATTTGAAAGTATAATCCACAGAAAACTAAGTCATGAGGTACATAACTGTAAAGTCCATCTGACATCATTCTCCACACATGTTCAACATGCCCATTGAGGCAGTGTGGGCATAACCAAATTGCTGAAAACAAACTCTGCTGCTTTACTAAGGTATTTCTGTTCCCTGATAATACTCTGTGCAGGTATTTATATCAAGCCCATAACCATGGAATCTAGGCAATAAAAACCTGATCCAAAGCTCTGTGAAGCCAAAGAAGTCTTTCTATTAACTTCAATGGGCTTTGTATCAGGCCCTCAGAAAATTCTGTATGCAAAATACAGAAGGATTTGTATTCTCCAGCCCTTCCTTTAATTATACTACTTGAGTGTCTAAGGAAGAGATCGTTTTCCATTGTTAACACCATCTTCCCGTTGGGTCATTAGGACACGGTCATGGAAAGGTGAATGCAAAGAGATAATACTTCATTTCTACTCTGAAGGTGGTGGGATTTTTCTGGGATGTGGGGGGAAGGGAGGGAGCTTCTAATCTGCAGAAGCCAAACTAGCAAAATCGCTGTGGAATGAAGTAATGTGAGAAAAATGATTATTGTGTATGCAGTGTGCTAATCACCTCACACAGCAGTGGGAAAACAAGGCTCTTGCTCCAAAGGGCCTTTATGAGAATATAATGGGTAAGTGGGCAAGGGTTTGAAAATCAAGCCAGTGTGTTTCCCGCTCCTTTGTCCGTATGTTCCCTTTTTGGATTGCAATCTCTTTTTGGGCAGACACCTGTAATGTTTGTATGTCTGAAGTGCCTAGCATGCTTGTGGGAGCTGGAACAATAGCAATTGGGCCCACAGACAGAAAGGTGACAGTAGAGCTGACAGGATGGGCTTCCCCTGTCCCCCATCCAGCTAGAGCCAGAAATCACCCATGCCCCCCCAGGAGACGGAGGCAGAGCCAGCAAGTAGCTGCTCTGAACAAGGGGGGCCTTGAAGACAGGCTCTTGCTACTACCTCCAGCTATGCCTAGAGAGACTGATATATCACATCTCCAGGAGATGGGAGCTGTTCAGGTGGCAGATATCTGACCAGCCATAACAGACTCCTGTCCCAATAAACAGCTGGAGACACCAGCTCACTGTGGCTCCCCTAGGGAGATCTGTTCAGTACCGCAGGGTGCTGGCTGGCCATTAGAACAGCCCCCAATGATTGGCGAGAGGAAGGTGCAAAGGAGAGGAGGAGGGCACTGTTTAGACAAGGTAGTGGTATGGAATTGGCACGGAGCTAATAAAGACTATGCCTCTCTCTCATCTGGATCACTTTGCTTATTTGTTGCTCTCCTTTCTCCAGTCCTCCAGGTGTAAATCAGAGCTGGATGAAATTTTTCTTTCAAACCATTTTTTGACAAAAACTGGCTTTAAAAAAAAAAAAAAAAAGCCAAAATTTTTTTTTGAATTTTTTAAAAAAAATTTTCCAAATTTTTTGAATAAAAAAAAAAACCACAGAAAAAAAACATTTTTTTTTCAAAACCAAAAATACCACCCCCGCTTTATCTTCCTTCCCTGCCCCTCCTCTTCCGGTGGCAAAAAAGGAAAAGGGAGAGGGGGAGATCCAAAAAAACCCCTAAAACCCTTCAAAATTGGGGGGTTTGGGTCAAAACATTTCAATTTTTTTCATGAAACAGATTTACCTTTTTTCAAACCATCACTAGTGTCAATTTTGTCTCCTTTGTTCTTTGGGTAGGGACCTTGTCCTGCTACCAGTTTGTAAAGGACCTAGCACCCTGTGGGTGCTAAATAAATAACAGGACATCAACCAGAGTACCTGTATGTCTTCTCACAGTTATTTATAACATTTCCCTGGTACCAGGCATGGCAGCCTCTCTGAGCAGCAACGTTAACATTTTCCTGTATGTGTCCATGACCATCTGGGCGGAAGGCCTTTCAGCTGGGTTCTTCTTCTTACATGCAGCATGGATGTCGAACAAATGGAACCTGACAATATCACTCCCTTCAACGTGGCCCAAGAAAAAATTGGTGACATCAGGGATTTTCCATATGTCCGTCTTCTCGTCATATGGAGGCATGAGGTCATCTTCAAATGGCACCTCCTCCCCATAGGGCCAAAGCTGTTCAGGAGCTACAAACTCGCCTTGGAGCTCCCGATGGCCACACTTCACCAGCCTGCCAGCGCTCTTGTTCACGAGAGGCAAGGCATCCAAGTCATTCACCAGAACATGAAAGTCACTTGTCAGCAGATACTGCGATAACAGCTTGTCCAAGTCATTGGAATCACACATTACTAAGGTGCCCAAAGGACTGTTGTGCAAATAATGGATGATGCTCACATAGTCTATTGCGAGCATGAATCTGCGATGCCAAGTATTCAAGCCTTTATATCTGGGAAGGTCCAGCATTTCATTCAGGCTCTTCAGGGAGCCTAACGGGTGATATTGGGTAAGGACTGTGAACTGCTTCTCGCAATAGCCAAGCAGTCTGACAACATACTTGCTCTGGAGAGACTTCAGCATCTTCAGTCCATGAAGAAAATCTTCCTTCAGCTCTGAGTTGGCGAGCTGGGAAAGGGATACTTTGTTTTCCTTCCATTCAGAAAGAAAGACCTAAAAACAAAGCAAGAGACAAGCAAAACATTTGGAACCTTTCCTTACTGATCAGTAGAAGCTATTATGGACCTGCAGATAATGGAATACCCACAACATTGCAAGCTATACGTTCATGCGACACAATGCTGTTAAATGAACAAGTTACACAATTACAAACTAGACTTCAATGCTACTGAAGTTATTAGGTGAGTCTTTGTATACACCTACATGTTACAGTGGAGTTACTGCTAGCTACACAGCGCTGACATGATAATTCCTGCATATAGTATTTACTGATCTCTTGTGCTCCCCTCATGAGCATATGACATGGATTAAATGCAAATCGGCCACTAAATCAAACTGTCTACAAGAGAGAACTTATACAGACCACTCTCTCTCCTGCCACCCTTACTCGATCTGAGGGCTTGCCTACACTACTGCTGCCGGTCAATTTAAGCTATGCGATTTGAGTTACGCTAGTAATAGGCTGTTGATTAATCGCAGTTAACTCACGCAATTAACTAAAAAAAAGTAATTGTGATTAACCACACTATTAAACAATTTATTAAATATTTTTGGATGTTTTTGTACATTTTCAAATGTATTGATTTTTATTACAACACAGAATACAAAGTGTACAGTGCTCACTTTATATTATTATTTTTTATTATAAATATTTGCACTGTAAAAATGATAAACAAAATAAATAGTGTTTTTCAATTCACCTCATACAAGTACTGTAGTGCACTCTCTTTATAGTGAAAGTGTAACTTACAAATGTAAATTTTTTTTTGTTGCATAACTGCACTCAAAACCAAAACAATGTAAAACTTTAGACCCTACAAGTCCACTCAGTCCTACTTCTTGTTCAGCCAATTGCTAAGACAAGCAAGTTTGTTTACTTTTACGGGAGATAATGCTGCCTGCTTCTTATTTACAATGTCACCTGAAAGTGAAAACAGGCGTTCACATGGCACGTATGTAGCTGGCGTTGCAAAGTATTTACGTGCCAGATATGCTAAACATTCGTATGCCCCTTCATGCTTCGGCCACCATTCCAGAGGACATGCTTCCATGCTCATGATGCTCGTTAAAAAAATAATGTGTTAATTAAATTTGTGACTGAACTCCTTGGGGAAGAATTGTATGTCTCCTGTTCTGTTTTACCCTCATTCTGCCATATATTTCATGTTATAGCAGTCTCGGATGATGACCCAGCATATGTTGTTCATTTTAAGAACACTTTCACTGCAGATTTGACAAAACGCAAAGAAGCTACCAATGTGAGATTTCTAAAAGTAGCTACAGCACTTGACCCAAGGTTTAAGAATCTGAAGTGCTGTCCAAAATCTGAGAGGGATGAGGTGTGGAGCATGTTTTCAGAAGTCTTAAAAGAGCAATGCTCCGATGTGGAAACTACAGAACCCAACTACCAAAAAAGAAAATCAACCTTCTGCTGGTGGCATCTGACTCAGATGATGAAAATGAACATGAGTCAGTCCGCTCTGCTTTGGATCGTTATTAAGCAGAACCCGTCGTCAGCGTGGACACATGTCCTCTGGAATGGTGGTTGAAGCATGAAGGGACATATGAATTTTTTTTCTTGCATCTGAAGAAGTGAGGTTCTTACCCACGAAAGCTTATGCTCCTGATACTTCTGTTAGTCTTAAAGGTGCCACAGGACCCTCTGTTGCTTTTTACAGATCCAGACTAACACGGCTACCCCTCTGATACATGAATTTTTAGTGCATCTGGCACGTAAATATCTTGCAACGCCGGCTACAACAGTGTCATGTGAACGCCTGTTCTCACTTTCAGGTGACATTGTAAACAAGAAGCATGCAGCATTATCTCCTGCAAATTGTAACCAAACTTGTTTGTCTGAGCGATTGGCTGACGTAGGACTGAGTGGTCTTGTAGACTCTAAAGTTTTACATTGTTTTATTTTTGAATGCCTTTTTTTTTACATAATTCTACATTTGTAAGTTCAACTTTCATGATAAAGAGATTGCATGACAGTACTTGTATGAGGTGAATTGAAAAATACTATTTCTTTTGTTTTTTACAGTGCAAATATTTGTAATAAAAAATAAAGTGAGCACTGTGCACTTTGAATTCTGTGTTATAATTGAAATCAATATATTTGAAAATGTAAAAACATCAAAAATATTTAAATAAATGGAATTCTGTTATTGTTTAACAGCACGATTAATCGTGATTAATTTTTTTAATCGCTTGACAGCCCTAGTAGAAACATAACTCAAGTCGCTGTAGCTTAGATCTACTTACTGCAGGGTCCACACTACACTATGTCGACGGGAGACACTCTCCCACCAACATTGATTCCGTTTCTCATTGAAGTGGAGTACAGAAATCAATGGGAGAGCACTCTTCCATTGATTGAGCATGTCTTCCCTAGACCCATTAAATCGATGCCACTGGAACCCCTATGTAATACAGAGGTAATGCTGGTGGATTGGTAGAAGTATTTCAAAGATCCATTAGACTCCATGACATACTCCCTTAGTTGTGTGCAGTGTAGTTGTAGCTGTGCTGGTCCCAAGTTATTAGAGAGACAAGGTGGGTGAGGTAATATTGGACCAACTTATTTGGTGAGAGAAACAAACTTTCAGCCTGAAGAAGATCTCTGTGTGGCTCAAAAGCTTGTCTCTCTCACCAACAGGAGTTGGTCCAATAAAAA